CCATTCTTTTGGTTAATCACGTCATAGGCAGCAAAAGAATATAGAATCCCAGGTAAAGATCCTTCATTTCCCACTGCATTGCTCACATTAATCAAGCTTTTTTTTCTTAAAAAAAGAGCTTCGTGTCCGGAAATGTATCTCCGAAAGTTGTATGTGTTCATTTTTCTAAGTCTGTTTTCAACAATAGCGCTTATATATTGTTATGGTTTTAATTGTTTTTAGGCTTAATTGCAACTATGGTCCCCCTATTTTGTACTTTTTTTTGTCCCCCCATTTTAAAAACCACGATTTTATTCTATTTTTTAAGTTTTGAGTTTGATTTTAGTCCCCTCTCCAATTTTAAGCAACATCATTAAAAAAAATTAATTTAAGACTTCAGGGTGTGAGGTGAATTTAGTCCCCTCTCCAGTTTTGAGATTGAAGGGAATTCTTCGTAGGGTGTGAGGTGAATTTCCAACATCTGGTATCTAGAGCTCCGGTTGAGAGATTCAAGGAAGGAAGATAGTGATGGCGATGAACTATCCGAACGGCAACTTTCCGGCGACCCTGCCAATTCTCCAGAAAGACAATTATGAGAATTGGTGTAAGCAGATTAAGGTGATTTTCTGTTATCAAGATCTTGGGGATCTTGTGAAGGACGGAGTAACATCGCTTGGGGAGAACGCAACGGAGGCGAAAAAGGCTGCGCACAAAGAATTGAAGAAGAAGGACTATAAAGCACTCTTTATAATTCATCAGTGTGTTGATCCTGATAACTTTGAAAAGGTTAGTGATGTTGATTCAGCAAAAGAAGCATGGGAGATTCTTGAAAAGTCGTTTGGAGGCGCAGAGAAGGTGAAAGAGGTGAGGTTACAAACTCACAAGAGAACCTATAAGTTGCTTCAGATGGAAGACAACGAAAGCATTACAGAATTCTTCACCAGAGTTACAAGGTTGGTAAATCAAATCAAAGTATGTGGAGAAGCGCTGACGACGAAAGCAGTTGTCTCAAAGATTTTGAGATCGTTGGCTCCAAAATTCGACCACGTGGTAGTTGCCATAGAAGAGTCGAAAAATCTATCAGTGTTGACGAAGGAAGAGCTTCAAGGGACTCTTGAGTCTCATGAACAGAGGATGACTAAGAGAGATGCAGGAAAGTCGAAATATATGGCTTTGCAGGCGCAGACAGAAAAGGAAAGAAAAGGCAAAGGTAGTTGGAATGGCAACAAAGGAGAAAACCAATCGAATCAGAAGAAACCTTGGAACCAAGGCAACCAAAGAGGTGGTGTTGCAGGTAAAGGAAGAGGTGGTGGTCGAAAGCCAGAAAAAAGCCACATTCAGTGTTTCAATTGCCAGAAGTATGATCATTATGCTAGTGATTGTCCAGAAAGGAAGAGAAATCAAGAGACTGATGCAAAGTTGGCGAAACATGAAGAAGAAGAAACGTTGCTAATGGTCACAACAAAAGATGAAGAAAGATTCCAAGATCAGTGGTACTTGGACTCAGGATGCTCATCACACATGACTGGAAGGAAAGATTGGTTTGTCAACATGAAGCCCTCGTCAAAGAACACAGTGATGTTTGCAAATGACAACACTCTAGCAGCTGAAGGTGTTGGTGATGTTCTGATTATGAGGAAAGATGGCAAAAGGTCAGCAATTTCCAATGTGTTGTACATACCAGCCATGAAGAGTAATTTGCTCAGTATAGGGCAGCTTGTCGAAAAGAACTACAAGGTAGTTGTCGAAGACAAGATGATGAGAGTTCTCAACGCAGGTGGTAGATTAATCTTGAAGGCTTCAATGTCTCAGAATAGGACCTTCAAGATTGGACTAAATGTGATGGAGCACAAGTGTCTAGCAACTGCAGCCAGCAGAGATGAGTGGTTATGGCATTTTCGACTAGGTCATCTCAACTTTAATGACATCGGTCTGAAGAGAAGAAATATGGTTTCAGGATTACCAGAAATTGACATTCCAAGGGAAGTCTGTGGTGAGTGTGTTCAGTCGAAACAACATAAGAATAGCTTCAGCAAGGATGCAGGAAGGAAGTCGAAGGCAATACTTAAAGTCATATACTTTGATGTATGTGGTCCAATCCAGGTGGATTCGATTGGTGGCAATAGATACTTTGTCATGTTTATAGATGATTACAGTAGAAAGCTGTGGACTTACCTCATCAAGAAGAAAAGTGATATGATTGAGGTATTTTCCAGATTCAAGTCCATGGTCGAAAGACAGAGTGGTCAAAAGCTGAAAATTCTGAGGACTGATGCTGGTGGAGAGTATGTATCAAAAGAGTTCGATACACTATGTGTAAAAGAAGGGATTGTGCATGAGATGGTGCCACCTTACACTCCACAGCAAAATGGGATTGCAAAACGCAAGAACAGAACCATCATGAATATGGTGAGAAGTATGTTGAATGGAAAGCATCTACCTAAAGAATTATGGGGAGAAGCAGTTTCGACAACAACATATATATTGAACAGATGTCCGACGAAGAAGCTTGAAGGAATCACACCAGAAGAATGTTGGTCTGGTGTCAAGCCTAGTCTCAGTCCCTTGAAGGTATTTGGATCGATAGTACATAGACATGTGCCAGATCAGTTGAGAAGGAAACTTGATGATAAGTCGAATCAGATGATCTTGATAGGATATCATTCGACAGGAGGTTACAAGCTGTTCGACCCAGTGAATAAACAGGTAGTGATCAGCAGGGACGTGATCATAAATGAGCTTAAATAATGGGATTGGACTGAGAATTCCAAGAAGGATTCAGTGAGAATCTCTTGTGAAGAACCAGCCACTGAAGTCGAAATAAAAGTTCGACAGGAACCAGTTGCAGATGAAGCAGGTTCAAGCAGACCTCGACGAACAAGACACATGCCTGCAAGGTTGCAAGAATGTGTAATTACATCAGATGATGTAGTCGATGAGGAAGGTGAGCTAGTACATTATGCTTTCTACGCAGATGTCGAACCAGTCAATGCAGCTAAGGCATTGAAAGATTCGAAGTGGATGAAAGAAATTATTGAAGAGTTGGAGTCCATCAAAGTCAATGATACCTGGTCACTTGTCGAATTGCCGCAAGGCAAGAAGGCAATTGATGTGAAATGGGTTTACAAGGTGAAGGTAAATCCTAAAGGAGAAGTAACTCGACACAAGGCAAGACTTGTGGCGAAAGGATTTCTTCAGAAGGAAGGAATCGACTTCGATGAAGTATTCACACCTGTTACTAGAATCGAAACAATTAGGTTGGTTGTTGGTCTAGCAAATATGAACAATTGGCACGCATGTCAGATGGACGTGAAGTGTGCATTCCTTAATGGCCCCTTAGACGAAGAAGTTTATGTTGCACAACCAACTGGGTTTGTGAAACAAGGCGAAGAAAGAAAGGTGTACAGGCTTCATAAAGCCCTGTATGGACTTAAGTAAGCTCCAAGAGCTTGGAATAAGAAAATCGATAGCTTCTTAAGGGAGAAGGAATTTGTGAAGTGTACAATTGAGCATGGAGTATATGTAAGAAGAAGCAATGGCGAATTTCTTATACTATGTCTCTATGTTGATGATTTGTTGAAAATAGGGAGTTGCAAGAAGGAGATCGAAGATTTCAAACATGACCTGAGTGAGGAGTTTGAAATGTCAGACTTGGGAAATCTCTCATATTTCCTTGGCATAAAATTCTACAAGACAAGTAGAGGTTTGATGATGCACCAAAGAAGATATGCAGGCGAAATACTCAAGGGATTTGAGATGCAAGATTGCAACCAAACTTCGACTCCAACTGAGACCAGATTGCAACTGTCGAAGGATTCAGATGAAGATGATGTCGACCCAACCCAATACAGAAGACTTATTGGGTCACTTAGATACCTTTGTCACACAAGGCCCAACTTAGTATATAGTGTTGGTATGGTAAGTAGATTCATGCAGAAGCCAAAGGTATCACACCTAGTAGCGGCGAAGAGGATACTGAGGTATCTGAAAGGAACTCTCGACTATGGTATTTTATTTCCAGCAGCTGATGAAGGAAAAGAATTCAAGTTAGTGGGATACACAGACTCCAGTTGGTGTAATGATGTTGAGGATCGAAAATCCACAGCTGGGTATGTGTTTATGTTAGGTGGTGCACCACTTGCTTGGAATTCGAGAAAGGAACCAGTAGTGGCATTGTCATCATGCGAAGCAGAATATATAGCTGCTTCTCTTTGTGCATGTCAAGCAACTTGGATGGTGAACTTGGTCGAAGAAATCACAGGGAAGAATCATGGAGCAATTACCATGAAGATAGACAGCATGCCAGCTATCAACTTGGCGAAGAATCCAATAGCTCATCGTCGAAGTAAGCACATCGAAATGAGGTTCCATTATCTTCGAGAGCAGGTAGCAGAAGGGAAGATGAAGTTGGAACACTGCAGAACTGAGAATCAGATTGCAGATATCATGACGAAGGGAGTGCAGGTCGAAGCCTTCAGAAGACTAAGAGCCATGATGAATGTAGACAGTTTAGACACAATGAATTAGGTGGTGTGTTAAATGTAATTCATTGTTTTGATTTGATTTGATATGATTAGATTTGATTTGAATATTTTAGGCCTTTTATGTTTTGGGCTTTTGTAAACCTAAAACTATAAATATGGTGCCTTGCTTTGTATTCAATCACAACATAGAACAGATTTCACAGTTGCAGTGTTTAGCAAGTGAAAGTTCTATAAGCAATAAGAAATCCCACAGTTGTGGGTAACACATTCTCTCCAAATATTTTCTTCTCTCATTCTTCTCTTTCTTGTGTGTTCTTCTTTTCTTTTGTTGTTCTTGATAATTACTTGTTATTACCATTACTATCATATTGTGGGTTTGTTCATCAATCTTGAGATCAAGATTGAAGGGAATTCTTCATAGGGTGTGAGGTGAATTTCCAACATGTGGGACTTCTAAAAGACATTTTATACTATAACGTTATCTCCTTCTTCACCGCAGGTTCATTTACACTTGTAGCCACACTCATCACAACCATCATGTTTGCTGCAGCTTTCACTGTCCCGGGTGGAAACAATCAAGACAGTGGAGTTCCACTCTTTTTGCATGATTACACATTCAATATATTCATCATAGCTGATGCAATATCTTTTTTTACTTCTTCCACTTCAGTACTTCTCTTTATTGGAATTCTCACGGCTCTCTATGCTGAAAAGGATTTCTTGAAGTCCTTGCCACTCAAGTTACTTTTTGGTCTCATCGCACTTTTCTTCTTTGTTATGTCCATGATGGTTGCCTTCTATGCTTCTCTTGCCATGATCTTAAAGGGACATCAGGGAGTTATAATAACAGCTATGTCATTTGTTAGTATTCCGGTTATTGTTCCTGTTCCTTCGCAGTTGAGACTCTTCATTGAGATTTTTAAGTCAACAGTATTATCCAATTGAAACTTAGCTAAATACGCTATGCATATTTATCTTGATATAAGTATATGATAGCATTCAAGAGCTAATTAACTCTATAGTTCTGTTGTTGGAGTTCAGTTAACGTGCTTTAGAATTCCAAAAGTATCAACAATAACGTAATTTTAATTATACTATGCGATTAAGAAACTATCATTATTATATGAATTTTATAATATATGATTCTTACGTTTATAAAGATATTTAATTTGTTCATGATGATGATTAAAGAGCATTAGACACGGCTGAGAAAACAGGAAACTCTGAAGTAAAAAGCATCCTAACAGAATAAGATATTCAAAGTGGAAAATCCATAACAAAACCAAAAACAGCTGCAACCAGAGAATTAAAACAAACTGTTAGCTACATAAACCATGAAGTCCATCACCAACTAGAACACACTTGCCAAACGCGAAAAAGCGTTCAAGGAATCGCAAAGCGTCTCAACAAAATGCATACAGAAGGGCTCAACAATGCAATAAAATCAACAATCGTCGTCGCAGTCCTCATAGCAACTGTTGCATTCGCTGTTATCTTCACCGTCCCAGGCCAATTCGTCGATAATCCAAAAAAAATTCCTAAAGTAAAGTCGCTCGGGGAAGCAAACATAGCGCCGCAAGCTGCGTTTCTAATCTTCTTTGTGTTCGACTCGTTTGCGCTTTTCATTTCTTTAGCGGTTGTGGTGGTTCAAACTTCAATAGTTGTTATAAAAAGCAAAGCAAAGAAGCAAATGAGGGCTATTATTAACAAACTAATGTGGCTGGCTTGTGTGCTTATTTCTGTTTCACTTTTGGCACTGTCTTTTGTAGTTATTGGGAAGCAGGTCAAGGTCTTTTTCAGTTTTAGTTGTTATGTCAGATTTTGAGATATTAAACAATGAATGTACTAAAATGTATGTTATTTAGAGATTAATATAATAAAATTTTCACTTTCCCTCTTTCTCCATTTTACAATATAGATATTCAATTAAGGTAAATAATATGAGGTGTTAGAACAATAGATTTGTACTATAGAAAAGAAGCATAAGTTGTTACAATGGACACAAGTTTGAGAAGAAGGAGAAATTACTGCAATGAAGAAGGAGATAACTGCAATGAAGAAGGAGATAATGTTGTAGTATAAAATGTCTTTTAGAAGTCTCACATTGATTTTTGTATAAGAGATAAAATTGTTTATAAAGCTGAAAAAATTACAACAATTCAACTGTGGGTTAGAAAGATGGACCAAAGACATGGGCCAATAACTAAAGGCCCAAAGAGTTTTATTTAAAATTTTGATTTATTAATTAATTATAAAAATTAATAATAAAATATTAATCATTAATTAATTAATTAAAATAATATTAATAAGTTAATTATCCTAGTCAATAAAAAAGTCTTAAATTATTTTTTTTAAAATGACCTGACATTAGACATGTCATCTTAGATAGTGCCACATTATTAAAAAAAATTTAAAATTAGATAGGAGATTAAAATCAAACTCAAAACTTAAAAAAGGGACCAAAATCGTGGTTTTTAAAATGGGGGGGACCAAAACCCAAAAAAATACAAAATAGGGGGACCATAGTTGCAACTAAGTCTTGTTTTTATTAGATATGGTGCACCCCAATGTTTTCCCAAAACAAGTTGTTTCTCCAAATGTCCAAGGTGTTGTTGTGACGACGGTAGATGTTGGCAACCAATTTAAAAACAAGCAAGAGTTTGAATCTCGTTATCAAATGCTTAAATAAATTTGGATAGAAGCCTTTGAACTTGGATTTGGTGCGGTCATCGAAATGTGTGATAATGGTTCGGATAGAAGATGTACTTTTGTGATAATGAAGTGTGAAAGAAGCGGGAAATATAGAACTCCTCTCCGAAATTTTAAAAGAAACGACACCGGTTCAAGAAAATGTTAGTGTTCATTTAAGGTGTGTGGTTACATGTTGGCAAACAAAAACTAGAGATTTAATGTGATATGTGGTTTACATAATCTTGACTTATGTGAAAAATTAGTTGGTCATCCTAGTGTGTGTCGGCTCATGCTGAAAGAGAAGGAATGTGTTGCTGACTTGAATCTGGTTCAACCGAAAAATATGCTTACAACATTGAAATGGAAACATCCTGAAAATATATCAAATATCAAGCAAATGTATAATATTTGGTACCTTACTAATAAGGCGTTTAGAGATATGTTGGATGATATTTGGTACCTTACTAATTAAAATGCAACAACTCTTGAAATTGTTGGATGATAACAATTATGTGTCTAGGTACTGAAAGTACGAGGATGAAGTTAGTGTTAGAGATATATTTTGGGCTCATTCTGATTCCATAAAGTTGTTCAACATATTTCCTACGATGCTCATACTTGATTCAACCTACAAGACCAACAAGTATAGACTTTCATTATTGGATATGGTTTGTGTTATCTCAATTGAGAATACATATTCTGTTGGTTTTGCATTTCTTGAGTGTAAGAAAGAGGACAATTTTACTTGGGCCTTAGAGGTGTGCAGACACTGTTGAATGACCAAGGTGAAATGCCTAAAGTGATTGTTACCGACCACGATACTCCATTGATGAATTCGGTTGCAAAGGTATTTCATTCTTCTAATGTATTATTTTGTAGGTATCACATATCAAACAATGTGAGAAGACGGGTTAAACCCGCGATAGGGACGAAACAAATATAGTCCAAAGATGTAAAAATGGTGCAGAAGGGTGTGGAAAAAATAATGGATGCATAGAATCGTATAATAAATTCTTCCACAAAAGAACTATATGTCAATTCCGTTATATATTTTAGGAAAGTGTGTGAAAAGTATCCAGATTTGTTGAAATATGTTGAAAGCACAATTCTTGACCAGGTGAAGGAGAAAATCGTTTGTGCATGGACTGATAATGTTAGACACCTTGGAAATACAACAACTACCAAAGTTGAGTCTATCCATGCTACTTTGAAAAATTGGTTGGAAAATAGTAAGAGTGATTTATGTAGAGACTGGGACTCCGTGAACCACGTGATTCAAAACAAGCATAATGAGATACAAATATCATTTGGTCGGATCATCAAAGTTTTTGATCACAAATTTAAAGACAACACTCTATATTCTCTGTTGGTCAGTAACATTTCTCGGGCAAGTTTGGATTATATTTTTCACGAGGCTAAAGGAGCTGATAATGTAGGCTCCGATAGCGCAAAGTGTGGATGCACAATTGTGAAAACATATGGTATCCCATGTGCTTGTGTTATTGCTAAAAAGGTGAAACTTGGTGACTCAATGAGAATGGACGAGGTTTGCACTAATTGGAAGAGACTTATGTTTGATGATGATGGTGTCATGAATGACGGTAAATCGAATATCTTATTTTGACCGAATGGGAAGTGATACAATAGAAATTTTTGAAAGCCAATGACAACAAGAAACTCCATGTCAAAGGATAATTGAGGAAGATTTCCTTTCCGAAAACCACTGACATGAACCCGACCTCTCAACCCATAAAAACAAAAGGTGCTCCGAAGAAAATGAAACCTACACTGAATGACAATTTGACTACACGGTCTTCTTCATATTTTGAACATGTTGACGAAGTGTTTCCTGACTCACCAATTCCAAAATCTCAAAAAAGTGTTGTAAAAGGATCTCGCATTAGCAAACTATCTCTTACGTTGCCTCCACCAAAAATTTCATTCATCGATGAAATGTCAGTTTTTATGCAGAAATACATCGAACGGGTCGTCAATGTTGTGGGGGACAATAATTGCGGTTATTGAGCAGTTTTGGCTTTACTCGATAAAGGAGAAGATAATCATACGATTTTCCGCCATCAACTTATCCAAGAGTTGAATAAAAAATCATACAAATGGTTGTACGAAAAGAAAGAAAAATTCGATTAAGTTTATGAGTCTCTTGTTCTTTGCGTTAGCGGTCTGGCACCGGAGACAAAATGAATGCCCTTCTCTGAAATGAGTTACCTAATAGCGTATGTGCATGATAACGCGAAATCATATCGTTTATTTGGCTTGATTTACATGCATTTATTTGTGACTTTTATTAATTTATCTTGATTTATGTTCTATTATATGATTAATTTACTTTGTTTTGCAGATTGGGGAGAATTTGGACTAAAGAAAGAAAAAGAGAAGAAAAATACAGAATATAGCAGAAAACAGAATTTGTGACTGTCACGGTCGTCACGGCCATGTCACGACCGTCACAGCCTTCACGATCGTCACGGCCATGTCACGACCGTTATGCATCAAATAACAGAAGTTTGTTCAAGACAGAAGTGGCCACGAGCACTTTCCTCCTTTTCTCCTACTTTTTCTCCACTCATTGCCCACTACTGGAAGTTACTCCCACTCCCTCCATAATTCACCCATGATCTCTGGAAGTTGAAGAATGAATTATTTCCTATAAATAGGCCTTAGATTCAGAGTTTTAGGGGGGAGGCCTTCGACGTATCGAAGTGCTGCCAAAATTCCCATTGAAGCCATTTTCCCCATTTTTATTGTTTTTATTTCTTTTCCATTTTTCCCTTTAGTTTAGAGCTTTGTATTTCTTTCTGCAATTTTATTTGGCCAATTGGCCAAAGTAGAATCCTGCCGACATTGTGGAGGACTACTCTTAAATATCAGTACTACTTTCCAGCTTTCCGGTCTGTGGAAGAAGGAGTCTGCTCGAATATTTGTTCACCAGGTTTTTTTTATTACATTGCAATTTAATTTATTTATAATGTTTATTTATTTTTCTGCCATGAGTACATTATTATTAAATTCCCTGTCTCTGTCTGGTTCAACATCGATGAGTAGCTAAAAACCTTAGGGCGGTATGTAGTTATAACAAACTTAACCGGTGAAATATAACCATAGGCTAAAATAATTAATCACTTAATATTCTGGCTGATACTTTTTAATTGAAATAGACCTTTTCGTTACGAGAGTAAGAAAAGAGTATTAGGTTGGGTCAAGACCACGAGAGTGTGAGATTTTAACCAGATAGC